AAAAAAAAGAGGAAACAGAAACACGCGTGTCAAAGCTACCCTCTCAGAAGAAACATGACTTCTTTTGGCTCACACTGCTTAGTTAAAAATAGTCCACAAGAAGCTTTTCTAAGAATGTTCTTTTTACTGAGCTACCAGTGTGACCGGGCTTTTAGCTTGCACAGGACTGAGAAGTACCTGCTCCTAGATCAGCGTAAAAAAAAGATTAAGTAATATAAAAAATATAAAATATATGAAAAGAAATTGCTAAAATGAGGCAACTTAGAGCAAAAATTTAGAAATTTATGAAAATTTTTTATTTTATGCCACTATAATACAGTTCATGCAAAAACAAAATGCTATTTCTGAGAATCAGAAACACAGTATAGAAAATACCCTCAAGGGGGCGTACCAGCTCAAAAAAATCACCTCTCAGAGTCTTCACAACTCATGGGCAGCTCAACAAAGAAATGGAAATTTGAGAAGCCGAGGTGCTGCAACTGGAGCTTAAGCCCTGATGCACATTCTTATTTCACAACATATTACTTCAGCTATAGAAGCTCCTAATCGGATGAATAAAAGACTTGAAATTATTTTACATTTCAGAGGGAAGACAGGAGTTTGTCCTAAAACGGGCGGACAGTAATCCATAATTCCACAGAAGAATTAAGAAGTTGGAGCACTACCTTGAGGATAGGAGCCATGAAGACAGAGAGTCCCGTCAGGATGAACACGAAGATACCAGTGACTCGCTGTTCCCTGAGTTAGAGGGGGAAACGTCACACAAATTAATCAGCAGATTTGATTCAGAGAAGTTAAAACTTTTGTTTTTTTTAGTATGTTTATTATTCCCCTAGGACAGCATGGCATCTACATCATACACACACCTTTTTGATCATCCGTGTGCTGGAATTTCACGTCTAATGGTTGCATATGCAAAAGTTACAGTTCGTTAAAAACAATGAGCATGATGAATCTAAACGGCTCACGCTCCAATCAGTTAACCACATGGAGGAAATCCCTGTCATCAACTATACAAATCCACGATGATACAGTCTTTGCAGACTTGGTAACAAAAAATAAACTTTTTCCTGACCTCCACCTCGCTGACAAGTTTGTTTTGTTTTCATTTTTTTAATGAAGTCATTCTCCCTAAAGAACTGCAGGAGTATTTATATCTGTGTGTACACACGGAGAGCTCTGTGTAGATTTACCCCTTTCTGTCATTTTCCAAGACTGTTTTCTCTCTTTTGTTCCTTCCTGACTGTCTAATTCATGATTAATTGAATCTTTCCATTTCCTCCCCTCCTCCTGTTGTTGCTGGAGAGTAATTGCCTTTTTGGATAAAATGATTTTTCCTTTTCTAAAGAAAGGACTGTGCACGCAGCAGGTATTTTTCACAGTGTGTGCGTATGAGTTACTGCACACAGCATTATGCAAACCACCTGAGTGATTTCTTTTTTCTTCTTTTTTTTTAAAATCACTTCAATCTAAAATGAATGCAATTAACTAGCTAGTACAATCAAATACTGACAGTGCTCTGGGAAAACTGAGACACCTTTGTTCGAGACCACCATGCCAGAATGAATTTAATTGTTAAGTGACGTCAACACAGCGTCCAGCAGCTGCTTTAACTCACCTGACACCCAGGAATTTAGGCTGCTCTCCGGGAGCAGAAGTCTCAGTCTCCATTTTCAGAGAGTCGATGTGGGCGATGGAAATGACAGTGGCAGCCACATACCATGGCAGGCCCATGAAAGAGCAGATCACTATCAGGATGGCCACCCAGAACAGGTCCAAGTGATAACCTGCCCCTTTCTAACAGGAGACAAAAAAAAATTATATAACAAGTGGTTCCCACACTCCAGATATTAAACAAATCATGTGCTGCTGCAATAGTGTGATCAGAGCACACTGAGCGCCACATATTAATAATATATCAGGAAGTCTGGGAATATATGTATACAATTAGACAAACATAATGCAGTGCAAATGACTACAAATGACTGTTTAATCCAGAAACAGATAAGGAATAAAAAGTATTTCATTGCATGTCATTCCTGGTACTGCAGGTAAGATCCATTTCTAGACTCTTTTATCACTGCTGCTCTGTGGCTTTTTGTTCAGTCCAGTCTTAGTTTACTGTTGGAGTCTTCTTATTGTTGTTTATACTTTGATTTTGGCTTCCTGTGTCAATTTTTAACTAGTCTTTTATGTACCATTCATTGGATTTTCATGGCCAACATTTTTGTCTTATATCCCTTCATCTTCCTGACTTTGTGTATTCTTCTGATCTTTAGAAACTTGTACTGAAAAGAAATTCACTGACAAGTTCTTGTTGTCATTTCATGAAACTTGGCTTTATCTATTGATGCTTTGGCTGTCCTGCACTTTGGTTTTAAATGTGCTACAGAAATAAAAATTTACATACTTAGTTTGGATTCTTTTCGGTTCTTTTTTATTACTGAACGTATTCAATCATTTCACTCTTCTTAAGCCTTCAGATGGTGCACCAACCTTAAGTTTGTGCTCTTTCCTGTTGACAATTACAGCGGTGATCTGTTGGTCCATGAATATCAGAATGGTGACAACCACAGCAGGAAGTGCAGCTGCTAGGTACACCCACCAAGGGTTTCCTCCAAAAGGAGGAACAAACCAGCCCCTCAGTGGACTTGTGGGCTATGGGAAAATAAAAAAAATTTAAAAAAGACTGTTAAAAACACTGGAGACAGACTATCCAAGCCCCGATATCATCTCAAAAAGATTACAGATCTGAAATTACCGGTGCATTGTTACATGACAGAAAAACAGTGAATTAAGACTCTGTGATCAAACAAAGGTAGCTCTGTTCTTGCAATTTAAAGTTGCAACTCGAAGAGCTAGTTTATGTTCTCACATCACCTATAATCAAGCTCTGTGTCCTCCTGGGTGTGCTACAAAGAAAAGCATTATGCTTGGATTTGGAAGAATTACACAGGCTTTCTTGCCGAAACATCATTCATTATAGATGTAGTCGGAGGAAAAAGCACCACTGAAAGACAATTCAGTCAATGATTTCAAAACGTCACGATGAAATGAGGACTTTCTAGTACACTGGCAAACTTCTGGGAGATGCCTACCTTGAATTCACTTGGCACTAAGAGCTTTGGAGTCTCCACACCAACTAAGGCATCCACACCGCAGAAGAGAAGGATGGCCAAGATGATCGCAAAGTCACTGATGAGCTTCCTCACCTAGAAAGGAGGACACGTTTAAGGAGGGTTTGACAGTGTCTTTGAGTTTGTGGGGCTGGAAGTTTTGAAGAAAAGTGTGCCGACCCTTTTCTTTGTGTGCTGAAAAAAAAAAAAATGCAGGCAAGCTAACACAGCTTGACAGACAATTGCACACTCCCACGTCCAATTAACTTAACAAGCACAGCTTTAGACTTTAGGGAATAAACCGGAGCACCTGGAGAAACCCACACAGGCAGAGGGAGAGTGTGCAAACTCCACAAAGAAGGACTTCCATGCAAACCAAGATGCAAGACTTCTTCGAATCAATAATTTTAAGTAAAATGCAACTGAAACATATAAAAATGTGGTCACATATTAAGTAATCGGGAAATCTGGGAAAATATGCACCACAACGCTGGCTACAACTCATCTAGATGTGGAAAAACGATGTGACTGTCACTCACTCGGGTGGGGAAGAAGCGGCTCGTCTTGAACTTCTTCAGAGACATGGAGCAGGTGTAGGTCCCAAGGAACAAAATGAAAGACATCAGGGTGATGTCAGGTATGTAGCCACAGCTTTCTCCAACTAACTGTCCTCCATACTTCATACACTGCTTCTTGGTCAGAGATGCCAAGGTAGCATTTACCGGCTGGAGTGAAAAAAGGCAGAAACAGAAAAAACAAAACAGTTATCAGTTTCAACCCCCAAAAAAATGCCTGAAGAGAAAAAAAAAAAAAAAACAGCCTTTGAAGCAGTGAATTCTGACTCATTGTTACTGAACACAAGGGCACTACATACCAGATCAGTACTGTTTGTCAGGGCAGATAGATCAAAGAGTTCTGACGAGTTGCCTAGTGAAGAAACAACATAATATCTTATCACTAAAACAAGAAAACGTCTTCTAATAAATGCATTTGCCATTTTAAATCCGTGTCAAAGAATATTGGCAAGTCACGCGACACAAAAACAGTGTCTCAGCAGTGCTGAGACAGCGATATCTACACGGTCACACATTCTGCTATCATTTGTCATTTTCACTGAAAAAACAAAAAAATAAATAAATAAACTTAAATCTAAATTAAAAGACAAATTAATCCAACACAAAAACCATATATGACTATTCAACTTTCAGCATCACATGGTATCATCATTCCTGAAACTCTAAGGCAACATCAGGCCTGGGGGAGCAAAATTGGCACAGTAAAGACTCAAGTGCAGGAGGGGAATAAGCTTTTTTACTTTTAACTCTAAAGCCCTCACCCCTCATTCATTCATATTGCATCAAAGTAATAGGTAAGCAAATAAATAACAGAAACCTTTGTTTTTTTCCTACTATATTTAAAAATCCTTTTAGATAAAAGTGGGCTGTATGTGGCCCACGATGTGCAGTGAGTAACCCCTTTAAAAGAAGCCCAAAATTCAGGCAAAAGATGGTTTAGAACAGAGTGGAGGTATACCACTGCTAATGTTGAAGGTAAAACTCTTCCTATTACTCTGGTAGCTTCTCTCTATCTGAAGCAGCAGCAATAGTAAAGACTACGCACCAGGCATGCAGCGGCAGTCGTACTGAGTGACAAGGTTGGGATCATAATCCGTGTTGATCGGGTGGTAGTGGGCCAGCTTTATCATCTTCTTGAAAGCATCGTAGATGAAAATGAAGCTGATGAGCGCCGAAAAGCCTTCCTCTGTGAAACGTGTGAAATACTGCACCAGGAAGCTGGCGTCTGTGGCGACCAGCACCAGACAGAACATGGCCGACCACAGTCCGATCCACAGCCGGAATTCAAGGTAGTCGAAGCCGTTGTCTCTGAGGGAGAGGATACATTTCACACAGAGTGAGCAAGGGAACGCTTACATCTCAATATTTTATTTTACAATCCACCCAAGAATTCACGGCACTTTCAGAAAATACAAGGCGCTCAGAGGTATATAAATATTGCTCTGGGGTCCTCCAAGGGAAAACGGCAGCAGGTTTTTCTCTTTATTGCAGCTGTAGGATAACATGCATCCACAACAGCTGTAGTGAGCAGCTGCCACTGACTCGGCAACAGTTGACTCGAAGCACGAAAACATTGAGAGGGCACAGGCGCCACAACACTCTTCAGTCACAGCGTAAAATTAAATGAGAGTGAATTATTAATAATGGAACATATGCAGCGTGGTGTTTTTGGTAACGCTAGAAGACTCCTTTGGGGGTAAGAGAGGCAGTGTAGTTGAAAGGAAGTGAGAGTAGGCAGTATTTAATTCCCTTGAACTGAGGTGAAATGACATTTTATCCCCACAATAACGTATACCTAAAATTTAGGCACTGCTATCACACCATCATGGCGTGTCCTTGCTGCTCTCGTCTTCCACATAGTCGGGACAGGAAGCAGAAGGCAAAACAGGTGAAAGCTCATAAACACAACCAGGTGACAATCATTTATTACCAGTAAGTGCAAAAAATAAATAAATAAAAAGTTCCAGTGAAGCAACCTTTGACCCAAAGTCACCAGCCTACTACTAAATGTGAGTAATCTCCCTGAATTCTTCGTGCTTATATTTTTAACTTCTCCTGTAGTGGTCACAACGATCTTTATAAAACACACGCATCTGTCCTTTGGGGAGAGACTGTAATCTACAAATATCTGAAACAGTCTACTGCTGCTGTTTTTGACCTCTGTTTAACCCTTGTGTACAGCTGAGTGACTTTTTAGCCATGAAATACTCACTTGCTGAAACTAAAGAGGAGCCTTTCAAAGACTAGCACCGGTCCGGTGCTGCTGAGAATAGTCAGGGGCTGACCAGCCAGCAGACAGAACACTGCTCCCGTCAGTGCTGTTCCGAGGAAGCTTTCCAGCACTCCCTACGACACAGTACATGCAGGGGGGGGGGGAGAATGAAAACTTTACATACAACACTTCTCACAATATTCTGCATCCTTTCTCATTTTATTCCCCATTAATTATTGCGTAATTCCTACTTACTCACGCAGGAATAGTGTTTTCCCCATACTCAGCTGCAGTTCTGGTCAATCAGGACAGGCCTGTTTAGTTTCCCTTCACGTTGGTTTTTGTTTTTTTCTTAACACTTTATTTTTTTAAAGCAACTTGCACTGGATGAAAAGCTAATAATGACAATGCTGTAGCAGTGAGCATACATGGGGAAAGATCCAGCAAGGGCAGGGAATCCCTCTGTTGAGTGGGAAGGTGTAGCGACGCAGGAGTATTGAGGACCCACTATTGGTAAAGGAGGGGCGGGTGGAGGAGTCATTAGAAACACAGCCGTGACGAGGCTACTGTGGCTGATTAATCTGGATCTGAAGTTATTTACAGCCCGGGCAAATCTCCTGAGGCTGGTGCTCCTCAGGTCTCTGTCACATGAGAGGCCAAAGAAAGCGGCTTCATCACCATTCAGCCTGCCATACTTCTACACCGCACTGTGAGAGGCATCGGGGTGGATGCGGTTGGCGCTGTACGCCGACATATCACAATCATACGACGCTTCCTGCTAACAGCAGGTGTGACAGATGGATCCAGAGTGAGCCTCTGAGCTCAACATTAACATGGCTTATCTGCTGCAGTGTGCTGTGTTAGTTTAAAGGTTTAAATCGATGATGACGGTGACAGCAGCAAACACTGTGCAAATAAATTCAGTCTGAAACTCATAAATGGACAGTGTTTGCTTACGGCAGACAGAAATATGTGCTATGAGAGTGAGAGGTAGAAGAATGCAAGAGACAAATCCCACACATGTGAGCAGAGGAGAAATTTAGAGTTGGGCAAGGATTTGGGAAATCGAGACAGTTTATCATTGTTTATCAGCTCTTTAACCTTGTCACATTCACACTGTGCATGAGCAACAATAAGGGGCTTTAGGCAGCTGAGAATCTCTTTGAAAATGTTGAAATAATAGACTGCTTCAAAACAGAGGAGTACACTGTGTGACACAATGTATCGGTGTAAACAGACAAGTAGCAACAAACAACAGTGAGGCAATCACATTGGCAGAAAAGCATAAATATAAAGTCAACAAAAAGCAGAAACACCAGCATTCCAGAGAGCATCGGCGGAGAGCCACGGCTATGAGAAAGAAAAATACACATAAAAAGGAAATCACACAATGCTGCAATGTTTTTGCTGAGATTGTTTGACTGATGAGACATCGGCAGGGAGCAAACACAAGCTTTTGAATCATCAGAGTCTGACTTTCTTCATGTCACCGATAAAACACAAGCATGTCAAGTTAGGCTCTAACAAAAGGTTTTAGCAGTCTCAGAAATGCCAGAGCAGTGTGAATGCTGGGTTTAAACACAAAGGGATGAGGGAGGTATTACCTGCATGTTTTCTGTAGCATCTCCAAGCAGACCTCCAAAGGTGATCGCATTGGTGACTGTGCCCAAATAGATGAACAAGATGGCAGACAGAGACTGGATGTTCAGCGCATCATAGAAGTCGCTGGCGAAAAAGGGCAATTTCCGCTTCACATCCAAGATGAGACCTCCACAAAACCTTCAAGTAGGAGACATTAAAGTTAGCAAGCATAATATAGTTCGCCTCGCGTATTCTTCCTCTGTGGTTTTTTTTCCTCTTTTTTATTTATTTTTTTATCTCTACAGTATTTTCACAATTACTTTCCAGTGCGCTGAAGCTCCTCTCCAACTTGGTGTCCTCCACCCCCTCCATGTCCTGTGTCATGGGGAGTGTCGCCATTCATCTGAGGTGCCTCTAATCCGGTGTACATGTTCTTCCTTTAAAAACAGAAAGCAAACAAATAAAAGCCCACAAGCTTTCAGTTAACTCAAGCATGAAGATCGCAGGATCGCTGTCATGTTTCTACCATCAAAAACAGAAAATCACGGCAAATAAACCGTAAATATACATGCAAGTGCACAATGCATATATAATACAAGCTGCATACATTTTTATTTACAATAGTCTTTAATCACATCGGTGAAATAAGAGATTATCTCAGGTTTGAGAGAAGAAGTAAGATTCTCAGTTTCTGAAAAGGTTGACCTGCACTTGGCCTGCAGCTTATGTTGAAACTTTATGTATAACTGTGTAACAAAAGGATCCTAGTTTGTTGTCTTTAAAACACTGCTCAACTTTGAGACAGTAGCAAGAAAAAAAAACCTCCCTTTTAACAGGAAGAAACCTCCTACAGAACACAACCATCTGCCATGGTCTGTTGAGAGAAAGGAGAGAGGGCAAAAGGCTGAGTAAAAGAGAAAAAAAAGATTAATAATAACTGCTGTTGGGTGGCATCTAAATACAGTGACACTTGGTGCATGATGGGATGCACTGAGTGTCCCATGACACTCCAGTGCATTGAGTGCATTTCTCTAAAGCCCAAAAATGTCTCATTTTCTCTAAAGCCCACGTTCTCTTGATTTGCTGCTGCTCGTCCAACTTCCACAAAAACAAAAAAAAACAGTGCTTTTGAGTCCCCTGGCGCTGATATACATATGGAAAGCCATGCAGACATCAGCACAGCACCAAAGTAGAAAAAGAATCATGTTGGACAAACATTAATACTGCCCAACCCCCCTTTTATTTTTACGTCTGCATAAATACGTCTATGTTCACATAACATTTTGTAGATTTAACAGATTTATATGCAGCGACATCATTCATTGGGATTAGGTGGATTAGCAGCGGACCTCTTGTCCGAAGAAGGCAGGGACTTTGGTGGCTCTATCCTGATATCGGGGTCCCACTCGCCAGGGGGCAGGACAATGACCTCATCCAGGAACTCCTCGATACCAGCCAGCAGGTCCTGCCTGTCCTTTGCTTTATAAGCAATATCGTGGAATACCTGCCAGCACACAAACATAAGTGGAGCTTTAGTAACCAACAATTCACTGTGTCCCCTAACTCTAACAAAGTAGCATAACAAAACGTTCATAATATTCTAATTACCATGTACCCAAATAATGAATCAATATCTGTGCGTCTCACGAGCAGTGAAACAGGCATGCAGGATAGTTACTACGAGGGGATGACTCAAAAACGGCTGAGAACGGCTCATAAAGTTTTCATGGGAGTAAAGTTTAACTTGAGGAAATCCTGGAAAAACACTTCCTATCTCACCGTGTTTACTCGAGAGATATGTTGGAAAGAGCTGAGGCCTGTGGGAAATTGCCCGCCAGGTGATCTCAGGATTAAGAATGTTATGAGCTATCAGCTAACATTCCTGACAACACTGAGACGTTAAGCCAGGAGTGAAGCTACACAGCAGAGACACAGAGATGTTTAAAGGTGGAGCTGGTTAAAAAACCTGTCATTTTTCTTTGCATATGATCTGCTTATGCCAAACCAAACTTGGGTCAAAACGTTGTAACACAGAGATTAACAATTAACCTCTCAGTTGGACAGACTATTCACTGAGACATAATGATACAAGAAAAACAAAGACTTGGCTCCAACCACAATTGGCAACAGGAAGGGTTAACATTCATTTAATGAATGCAACTGGATAGCCCAAAACCATCATCTTAAGTTCACAACCAGTCAGAGGCTAGTTAAGTTAAATCTAATGTGTTAAAACAGTAAAACTAGTAAAAAAAAAGAAAAAAAAAGTAGTCAGCCATTGTGGGTCATATTATTACAATCAGTTCAAAATTTAGTCCACAAGAGAAATTAAACCAACAAATACGAAGTTACTTCATACCTCATCTGACATCAGGGTAGCGATGGCTCTTCCTATCTCATGATATGATTTAGCTTTGCCCTTGGGACCCAAAAGGACGAAGAGAAATCTAAACAAAGATGAGAACATGAGATGTGACAAAGTGAGAATCTCAAAGACTTTGGCCAGTGTTTCAAATGTTGCAAGTTGGACCTTGGACGATTTTACCTTGTGGGCACAGGGACCTCAGTGAGTGCCCCAAGCATGACAGCCTGCTGCAGACGGACAAAAGCCACAAAGGGGGTTTCCAGGAAATCTACCTCCCCGACCAGCACGTTTGAAGCCTCAGCATCGCGGGGCAATTTTTTCATGAACTTATTCTTCAGCTGTAATCATGGAGGTGGGAGGGGGGTTAGGGTTAGGCTACAAATTTCCTCTTGTAGAAGTGATTAGGGTATCATGTACATGCAAACCTAGTGGTGTGCTTTGTTGATGTCAGTATAAGTGTGTAGGAACAGGCAGTACCTGCCCTTCCTTCAATTATGTGCTGAACAGCAGTTTGATTTTATGCCGTCCAATAAGCATACATCCTCAGTCTGGATTCATAGAGATCTAAACTGAGCCTGTAAAAACTTACATCAACTAAGGGAGATGATTAACAAAGCCCTTGTTAAAATCTTAAAGAAAAACACACCATTTTGACCAATGTACAGTTTTATAAACAGTTGCTTGAGGGTGATTTCAGTTACTGTTTAACTACTTCCGTGATTGCAGAAAAACGCAGACAATACAGCCCATTTACAGTTGTCATGAGTCACGGCGGCGAAAGAAACTACAGCGGACGACAGAAACTCACACGACAAAGACAGTAAGCTGTTGTTACTCAGACCAGAGAGAAGAATGGAAGGTGTCTTATTTATTAGCATCTGGGGCTCACATGTGTTACGCCCTCCACCTTGCAGTGCCAGTGCAAGAGAATCGGGTGCTGCCATGGCTTAACTGCCAATTGTCTACACCTGACAAAGTGTGGATAAACACTAATAAAGCTAATGTTTCTACATACTCTGGGGTCAGTCTCCAGTCTACGTTGCAGCATGCTGAAGCACTCATACAGCCCAGTACATGCCCTTTCTAAGTGCTGCTTTGTGAACATTGACAGCGGTGGTGCAAAACCCATATGACTCTATGCAAATAACACATCGAAACACATTACCTGATCTTTCTCTGGCTTATCAGAGAAGTCACTCAGGCTGTTGGAGGTGAGGTTTCGGTGGGTTGTAGTTGGACTACCTGCAGAGAGGGGAGATTCTGTTAGGATCAAAGAGGATGACGGGCAAGAACACAGAACTTTAAAAAAAAAAAAAAAGAAAAAAAGAAGAAGATATTTTTGGCTGAGTAAGAGGCTGAAAAGAGACGGAAACCTGAGAAATAAGCTAAATGTGTCAGGGCTTAAGACTTAGGACAAATGTCAGACAGTCAGAGACAAGAGAGCATGATAGATGACTGCTTTAGGTCTGCTGTTTATACACGTAAATAGTTGTTTGAGCAACGGCTGGCAGACGACTGAGAATGTAAACTCTGGAACTCGGTTAGAAATTCTGCTACTGACAATGGTGGAGAACATTAGTCTATCACTATTTGATTTACAGCAAAATGAATATTTAGCTTTTGTCCACCACATACGTTTCCAGGCTGATTTCATGAATAAACACATTAAGCCTTTTTTTTTTTTTTTTTTAACACAGTTGACTTAATGAAACTTCAACACTATTGCATTTTTTTCCTCTCTAATTTACAATTGTCTATCTCCATTCACACAAGCCTTCCATGGGACTACATTCCAACAATGCTGCTTTCAGCTGGAGGGCTATGACCTCACTTACAGAGGTATCCCATGCTGGAGCTCCTCATGACCTCACATGGTTCCTCTGAGTCTTGTGGGTTTAAACAAGGCACAGGGTGCTCGAGGGGGTTGCGGGCTATTGCACCCCAGATGCAGGAAGTCAGAAAGTACAGACCCCCATGGGAGGAAAGAAAAAAAGAGAGGAAAAGAAGTACAGTAAGATAGGGGGGAGGGGGAGGAGAAACAGAAAGGGAAAGGGGACAGGTTTGTGTTAAAAAAAGAAAAGTCTAAAACAGTAAGAGTTAAAAATGAACAGAAAAATGAGGAGAAGGTGTTTGAGTTGATAAGGAGAAATAAGAGTTTCTGCATTACCATTCTCCTGGCTAGAAAATATCCTGCTTGCACTGGAAACAGTCTTGCCAATATCTGCAAGAGAGCGCAAGTTGGACTTCTTGGTCTGGTGCCGATGCTTCCTCAGCAAGGTGTATGTGACCTTCTCCTTCAGCTCTGCCTTCAACTGACCACTCTCAATCTGGCTGTCAGTGATCATTTCTGTTAGAGGGGACAGATTGAAAATCAAGCGTAAGTAGCAGTTGGGCTTTTCTAAACCTTCAGGAGCACTTTCGATCTAGTCAACCTCACGCACCGACAATCTGTGGCAGCGAGTTGGCCTCCAGATCCAGCACGATCGTGCCCTTCTCGATAAAGGTTTTCAGCTCCATCAAACTATGCAAGGACAGCGTGGCCACATGAGGTTTGCTCCAGCGTTCACCTCCCTTCTCCACCTTCTCCTCAAACTTGATCCACCTGGTCAGAGCGGGAGAAAATAAAGAAGAGGCAAAATATGCGTGAACCATACCGGAATTGGACAAGTGACCGTGCTCAGATGCAGAAGAATGTACGATCCATCATCTTTTTTCATCTTCAACCTGAAGGTTGAGGTCAAAATCAAAGGTAACGGAGGTTTAAAAATAAACAAAGGCGGAAAACAAATGGCGACAATATGGATTCTGTCCTCTTTACAAAACAGCAGTGCAATGTTTTGAAGCTGTCACACTTCACAATGCATAAATGTGGGATGCAGAAACGCGTAGAAATAAAAAATAAATCACTAGACTTTAGAAAGCATGCTATTCACTGGAATGGGGATAGCCTTCTCTGGAACCTTTAGACCACACATTGCTCGGAAACGGCGTTCAAACAAGATCCCATTTTAACGTTTCAACTTTGTTGCCACGGATAAGCTCAGCCTCGAAGGTAAGGCTCAGGACAAGGACTCTTTTTAATAATAATGCCTCAGATGTCACCACTACAAAGAACCATTCTCATGAGGCCTGCGGATGGAGTTTCCACTGGGGATAGAGTATCTCTCTGGTTGGCTGCGGTCCACGTGTCTGTGACGGGCCGTCTTGCTGTGGGAAGAGTTTGGCCACGGAGACAATGCGAGTCCTAAGGCATTCACTTACATGTCCTTCCGTGTAATCCCATTGCTCTTTTTACAAAATGAGACAAAGAATCAGAAAAACACAACAGCTCCTTATCGTTGTTTCGATGCTTCTCAAAGAACGCTCCATAGACAAAGCTTGACACAACACTTATCTGTGCAAAAACTGACAAAAGGTGCTGAGATTTTTGAATTCACTGAATTCCTTTACTTGGTTACGTCGGACAAAGGAATAGCAAGTAATGGAAACGTAATGCTAAAGTAACAAGGTAGTCCTCAGCATGAAGCTTCACTTTACTTGAGGGGTCAGAGTAGGTGACATTAATCGTTACTTCAGGATTACCTCAAACACTAAGTAACTGGTCAGTCTTACATTTGATTTAATTGCTGCTCAGTGATCAGATTTAGTCAGAAAAGACGAACAAAGTTGAAGCGTTCATGATGTTGTATATCTGCTGGTTTGTTAGCTTAATAATGATAATAACAACAACCATTGTGTATTATAAAGTACTACCTCCTAATCCATGACAAAAGCCAACACTGTAAGTTATACCAAGGTAACACGCCCCCCCATGTAATCAGTAGCACTGCAGTGAACAGGGTAAGTAGGTCAAATCAGAGAAGGTCAGGTTTAAGATAAAATTTACTGATAGTCTTCCAGGAACATTTGAAAATAATAATTCTATATGAAAGTCGCACAATGTTAGCTTGATTAGCTGGAATAACTGATGATTTATTGTAATACTGAGCACGCCACAGGTGAATTAAAGGAAATCCATTAACAAGTGTAGTGATTCCACTTATACATGCCAAAAGTTCACATGTCCCTGTATACTTGAGGCCTGTTTTGATCATGTGGGAGTTGCTGCCTTTTCCGGGTCTCACAGAGCAGGTACTATAGATCTCGATCAGATAAGAGTAGACTGGGAGTTCACTAGGGCACTGCCTATTTCCCTACACACACAAAACATGATTATTTATAAGGGATTGTGTTCCAGTCACGGGATGGTGAGCCACTTCCCATGGCTCTTAAAGTGAAATGGGGGGGATAAGCTGTAAGCACATTTGCCTTAGCAGCTCACCTGGCAGTTTCCTTCCACTCCATCTCCTGCCCGTCCACTTCCAGAAGCTCATCCAGCTCAGTGAAGAGCTGGGGAGGTGGTGGGCCATCATCCTCCTCTCCCAGGATAAACCGGATTCTCTCAGCAGGAGAAACTGCAAGCAGAAAGAATTGAGTTAGTGGACAAACAAATCAGCAGTGTAGTTGCTGTCATTGTGTGAAGCTACACAGATGCCTGCTGTGCAGAACTTAAGGTTTCCTGTATAGGAAAGAAATTGCACCTGCATAATCATGCACAGAATAGAAAGCTCAAACAGCTGACTGGTCTGACAATCTGGCATGCATCTGTCTGACATCAAAACAGTATTTTCTGTAAGCGTGAGACCACAGTATATCTTGCATAGCAGACTTGCTTAAACTGCAACTGCTCGAATATCATCTCTCACTGTTAGAGAAACATCAGAGGTTTTAATTGCTATTCAAAACAGCTGCAGCCTGGTTGGGATGTTACATAGTATGTTTTTTAGCATTTCAGGTAGCTTTAAAGATTTTGTGGGGGGCAGTTTGCGCTGCGAATAAGGTGAAAGCACATGACCCTGTAAAAAGAACAGTGTTATCTTAGCTGGAAGGAAACAGCCTGACAACACATCCGCTCGAGGAAAAGATTTTCAGTAAAACACATTTTACTTCCTTCTGAGAAAGTTAACCAAGATTTTTTTTTTTTTAAATCAGCACACTCATGCATTGATAACCTCCACTGAATGTTTATCTTCTACTTCTATTACTTCAATCAGAAACACGAAGACCATTAAGGAATATGACATCAAGAAAGGTGATGTGACCTCCACAGTAAGACAGCCTAGGCATATAGATTTTTCTTTTTATTATTCATAATAAATTATGTAACCAGTGTTTATTTATGCAAGTTATGATCTTGTTCTGATAACCAAAAATAAAACAGCAATCTCCGGGTTTAACAAGAATCTTGACAAAATGAAATGTGAGAACTGCTTGTTCTTGTTAACTCTTCTGCGAAAGTTGTGCAACGATGAAGTAAGGCAACGAAGTGGAGGTCAAGAGCAAGACACAAGAGGCTATTTATGAAGGTGCCTTGATTTACTGTACCAGTCAGGATTCTGCAGGTTGATAGCTTAAGAACGTAACGGCACCTGTAACCTTTTAATCCTGAAACAGCGCACCAAAGCTTAATTTAGATTGTTTGTTTTTAAAATAGTACAGCTGGAACTGTTCTAATATAGACAGCGCATCTAATAATAGGTCATGTGAAGGTTAAGACCAATGACTCAAAGGGGCATGAAACACCTTTAGGATCCCATGCATGAACCTTCAGCAAGGATGCAAAACCAAAACATAGGAGATCCTCACACCCACAGCACCTTTCTGCTGTCCTTTTGCAAATATGACTTACTGACACCATATGGTGTACAAAACACTCTTCGCCTCTTACGTTTCACAGCTGGTGTTACCAATGAAAACCAGGCCTTTGTTGTGGTTACACGCAACTTTTGAGTCGTCTGCTCTACAGTTTTTGCCAGAATCAACAGGATTATGTGGATTTAGATCGGTCAAAGCAGTGGAAAATCTTACAAGTGTAGGGCTACATATATCTGTCAGTATGTGCACTTTCAACTGGGGCTTTAGTTGTCTGGGACAATCTTGTTACACTGTATGCTCATGTTCTGTGACAGCGCAACCCCCATAGCCAAAGCTCTGCTTGACATTTGCACACATCAGTTGAAAACTCCTAACAGGGAGAGTAAAGCATGTCAGGTAGAGGCAACATGCACACCTTCATTTAATAGGGTAACAAAAAAATATAAAAGGTGGTTCACTCAAGAGGGAAAAAAATGTTTATGCCAAGAGTAGCTCATCACGCAGTAGAGTCTGCCCTCTTATTCAACCTTCAAACACTGTTTGCAGTTAAGATCTTTTAGAGAGATACAGTAGTATGGGAACGTGGGAGTTTGTTTATGTGTGTGTGTTGTGTGTGAGCTAGAACGGACATTTAAATATGGATGACAGATTCAGTTTGAGCTTCTGTGTTAGGTCTGCTCTCCCGCTGCCCACTGATTTTCCAGTCTGTAATCAACTCTGTGGAACCCCCTATGAGCAAACACTTGGCAACAATGAGAAGGAAAAACTCCAGTTTTTAACACGAAGAAACCTCCAGTAGACCCAGGCTCAGGGAGGGGGAGCCATCTGCTGCAACCGGTTAGGGATGAGGAGAGGGAGACAGGACAAAAGACATGCTGTGGAAGATTGCCAGAGATTGATAATAACTAATGGTTAAATGCAGAGTGGCATATAATCACATAGATAGTGTAAAAAGGGGAGTGGAGAAGAAATGCTAAATGCATCATTGGAAGCCTAACTATAAGCTTTATCAAAAAGGAAAAGTTTTAAGCCTAATCTTAAAAGTAGAGGGTCGTCTGTCTACTGAATCTAACGAGGAACTGATTCCACGGAAGAGGCGCCTGAAAGCTGAAGGCTCTGCCTTCCATTCTACTTTTAAATTCAATTCCCTAGGAGCCTAAATCTGAGAGCAAAGTGCTCTTTTGGGGTGATACAGTGCTATTAGGTTTGTAAGTTAAGATGGGGTTATTTGTAAAACCCAAGAGCTAAGATTTTAAGCGTTACTCTCATTTATATAGAAATGCAATCCATTATTATTATTATTATTATTATTATTATTATTATCCGACAACAAAAAAAAAAAGCCCTTGACAAGTTTATTTCTTGCAATGAATCATGCCCCTGTCATTACTCTTAGTTTTCATCTGAATGCTCAAGGTTTTTAATCACTACAAATTAAATCACTATAGTAGCCGAGCAGTTGAGAATGATGGCCTCAACATTGCATTAAATTCATTTTTAGATAGGAAAATACCATCACGGTACATCAAAATGGTGTAACCAAAGAAAGGCATTTTACAAATGACAAATGATGTTGTCCTTCTGGCAAGCAAAGCCAAAGAAAAGAGCTGCTATCACAAATAATGGCTTTAATCAAAGATCACAAATACTAGAAAGGATACAACTGATAATTTTCATCGTATATGCTCTTCTGCACAGCTATAAAACCAGGAGATGTAAATAAGTTGGACTATTTGTTAAAGACATTAGGGCTTGGATGACATGTACTTTTCTCCTAATAAATTCAGAATCGTGAAGCTATCATATTTGGCTGTAAAGATTTAGGAAACATGCCATCCAACCAAATACTTTCTCTGGATGGAAGTACCTTAAACTCCAAGACCACTAGGAAGGAACATCAGGTCCTTTTCGTTCAGAAAAATTCACACAGTAAACAAACCTCTAGGACTGCCTTCTATTATCTTCTTACTCTTACTTAAATTAAAAACATACTTTCTCAGGGTGATGGTGAAAAACTACCTCGCATTTATTACTTCCAGGCTGGACAATTGTAATTCTTGAGATTCCTCCCATTTTGGTTAGTCTTTGTTGGCTCCCCCTGTTAAATCAAGATTTAAATATAAAACTCCTCTACTTGAGTATGTCCTAAATAACCATGCCTCCATTGTGTCTTAAAGACCTCGTAGCACCTTATATTCCCAAAAGAGCACGTGCCTCTCAGAGTGCAGCCCTATTTCTGATTCTCAGAGTTTCCAAACATATGATGGGAGGCACAGCATTCAGCTATCAGGCTCTTCTAATTTGGTTTAAGAAACATAGACTCTTTTCACTTTTAAGATTAGGTGTCAAACACTTTTTTTCTGTTCAAGTTTCATTGATAAGTTTTGCTGCATTAGGCCCAGTTGCAGGGAGGCCTCACATGATGCACTTAGCAACTCTCCTATAATATCTGCTTCCCTTGGATTTTATGGTGCTACTGCATATTATTAACTTTTTCTCTTCTCTCTGCACGTAACCTTTCTGCACATATAGTTGCTTCTGGAGCTGCATGTTCCTGATCTGTTGTTACTTGCTGTACTAGTGAATGTTTGTCGCTCTGTGCTCATCTTTTCACTTTCTCCTCACCCCAGCCGGTTGTGGTGACAGATGTTCCCTGAGGCTGCTTCTTGCCATTGGCCTCTTTCCAGCAAAAAAACAAAAAATCAAAACCGTAAGGTCATGACTTTAGTTGCTACTCTAGGTGTCCTGAGAGGACAGGTTGTAATTTGGTGCTATACAAGTTTTATCCAAATGTAACAAGTAATAAAGCTCTTACTAACTGAGAAAACAAACTACAGTCTCTGATTGCATTCTCTAGACATATCTGTCTCTATGTCACCTTATGTCACAAGTCTGAGAGGATTTTTTTTTTAAAAATCAACTAATTGATAAAGAAGTTATTCTTATGTAAGCTGATGTTAGTTTTTTCCGCGTTTACTTAAAGTCGGTGGAGTTTGCATGACTCAGAAAGTAATCAGGCAGGGCCCATGACACCTACTGTAGATAGAGAGAGATTAATGGGAACAAAGCTCCTCTCATATTGTGGCACCTTTGAATGACTAAGCACTCAGGCTGGTTTACATCTGAGCATAAGGTGTAACAGAGGATTACAGCGTCAGAGGAGAGAAGATTACTCAGGTGTGGGGCTGCTGTGAGAGCCTGTGAAAAGACAACTCAATGTTACGCCGGCAAAACCAAGAAAGATGCAATTGTAAATTGTCAACAAAGCCAAAAAGTGGTCAATGGACAATGCCTATCATTGTATCTACTCGTGCTTTATTCACCCATTCATGCAGATCCCTTCAGACTCTCTCCCGTTTCTTGATAATGGAGCCCAACCCCGAGTCGTGCATTTCATTTTTAAATCTCCAACTCGTGTCTACTTTTAGGAACTGGCTATACTTTAAGGAATGGTAAATGGACTCCTTCTTACATGGTGATTTTCTACTCTGCTTGGGAACTCAGAGCACTCTTAAATCTATAATATCTTGCCCAATTATACTTTGGCATGCAAACTGGAGCAGCCAGTCAACAACCCTCTGATTAGAAGGAAGGTAACAATTCACAAACTAGTCCTTTGGTGACACAGAAAATTAATATTTGTGGTACGTTTCTCAAACTAATAGGTTTCTATTTTCATTCTACAGTTGGAGGAGGAACAATGAATCTACTGGCTGTCTTACAAATAATTCTGGAATGCTTCACAGTTTCCTGGTGGATCGCCTCTTCCAGTATGCCTCGTTCAATGGTGTCACTCCAAATCATAGCATCACTCTATTCACCTTCACCTCTATTATTTGTCCACACAAGGTGCCTATTGTTATGAAACTCTGCTCACTGTCTTTGAACTTTTGTTTGATTGTAGTCTTTTGAATGCTTATACAACTTGTGATTGCGGTCTTGTGTAGGAGGTTGGGGGCGATATTTGATGTCAAAACAAGGGGATATCCTTAAGATGGTTACGTAAGCACTGCACCCACCCACCCTCTGTTCAAAAATTACAAGTCAAGAAGAAAGCTGACCTAAGGGTTAATATACAAGCTAAATCAGCTTGTTTTACACAATGTATGAACTCAGGGTCTACACCAAAGCCCAGCATCATCATCATACCACTAGAATAATTGTACGGTGTGTACGATTGGTTTATTCTTGATGAAACTCTATAAACTACCTAGGGCTACCATGATTTGCAACATTTATATGGCGACTGATTAAATATTTGCTTCAAATTAAAAATATTGTTTCTTTTTCTGTACATTTCCATACAGAAACTGCATGATCGAGGCCAGTTTTTGCACACGTTTGCATGTTCATATGGTTTTAGATTTAGATTTATTTACTGGTCGTTTGAGAAATGCCATTTGTGCCTTGTGGTGACTGTTGGACAAATACGCACCTTACGTGTAACGCTCTCTACAGGGTTTACGTTTTAAGAAATGGCAAGTTTTTATTTCCTATCTGCCGCACTTATACTGATCTGAACCATTAACTGAGGGTGAAAGATGTGTCACAACACATGGTTGTTTGCTACGTCCAAGGAACCATTATCAACATAAAAGGCCACAAGTAGTCGCTGTGAATCGCAGGTGGGGCCGTTCATTCCTTTGATGTAAAGTGCTGCCTTGCCTTTCAATTCTTTTCCTTTTAAATGTATATGTTTCCAATAAAAGCCCCTATGATTGATATTAATGTGAGTTAAAGTGCCTGACCCATAAAAACATGTTGAAAGTCGTGCCCTTTCCTCTTTTACTGGCCGTGTAAACTTCTACTGATATACATGTACTGATGCAAGCCTGGCAGAAAAACTAGCTTTTGATAGTGAGCTAAATAAGGGTTATTCTGAACTTCGGATCACCTAAAGAAACTATTTGGAGTCTCAGGTTTAAATATGAAACTGAACAGGTACCCTTTAAGGATTCATCTGAACTTTAAATATCAGTGGAAATACCAGTTTACCTTGATCCTATTGGCCTTTGTGGCCCTGTTGTCATTGTTCACACATGCCCTGATGAGTCAAGCGGCAAATCCCTTGCTCAAATATATCCGACACCACCACACACAACAAATTCACCAGCTTATTGTACCAGTTTCCAGCATCATTTTATGGTGAATTCCAGTAATGATAATTGTGAATCTTGCTCATACCAGATGTAACGTTTTGGGACTCTTAAAAACAAAAACAAAAAAGATGATTTACCCAAGAGGAGGTACAACTTTGGGGCTCTCTATTACAATTACACGTATTTACTATACACTGAAGCCAAATCATAGTGTTGCCATTGAAGACTGTGAGGTTCAGATTTTCCCACCTGTTTTACCTAATTAAAAAAATGTCCCTTCTTCCTCATTAAATGCGATTTCTGTCTGTTTTAATTCCTCAGGCTGTAGAAAACAATCAGGGGATTAATGGTTCAACCATGTCAGCTTTCTAAGCCTCTCTATAGGGACAGACCGGGTGTATATTCCCTATAGCAACAGTAAGATTAGAATACTGTTGACAATCTTGCAGCCTTTCTTCATCCACACAGACACCGTATGAGTACTACTTTGTCATTTGGTCTTAAGGATCTCGTTTAACATCTCTATATCTTGCCATTTGTGCCAAATCTTCCGTTTTACCACTTAGCTTCTGAGAATCCTTTCCCACAAATCTCAGAGTGCCGTGTTTAATCATCAGGTGACAGGTAACCCCCCCCCCCCCCTTTTTTGTTTACTTTACACACATTAAGCTATTCCAGCGTCATTTTCAGATTAGTGCTCAGCATGTTCCCATTCCCCTGCTGCATTTATTCACTTGAGTGCAGGCTGCTGCTTAAAGAAAGAGAGCCCCTCGCACCCCACCCACCCCTCATTGCTCTGCCTCCTTACTAAGGAAAACTGATATCTTGTAGGCTGTAATTTGCACTGGACTTAATCCAGATGATTTAAAGCTCATCTCAGGAGCGATTTATCCATCACCAACGTGGCTCTCATAGATGATTTCATGCACACTGTTTTTACTAAACGTCATGTTAGTGTCACCACGACTCACTGAGAGGTTTGAGGACGCTCACGTCTACATTCTCCCCGTCGGACTTGGACCCTTCTGCGCTCTGTTCAGGTCGTTCCCGCTTCTCCTTGTGGCTAGGCCTGCGTCTGTGGCGCCTCCTCCTGTGGTAGCTCTTGGGAACGTGGACACCGATGTACACAGTGTGATGACCTGTCACAACATAAAGCAGAGAGCAAGCAGATCAGATGACAAACACGGGAGAGAAAATAAATCACTTTAATCCCAAAAGCTGGGTAATCTGCGTCGTCCACCGACAGGAGAAAAACTGCCGCTGTAGTGTGATGTAGTGTGAAATGTTAAAACATTTCTATTTCCTCTCACAGTATGCCATCAAATCGCAAAATTAAAGAAATGCCAGTGACTTCCTACACAGAGACTCGTACAGGAAATGATGATTTAATGTCTCCAGGAAGTAATTAGAAAGAATAGTGGGTGTGAGAAGACTGAGATTAACTGACCCAGTTAGTGATGCAGCTCTCTTCACCCATGCATTTCACAAACATTTCTTTTAGGGTTAAATAATCTTTCATACTTGATGGTTAGCCTTGTTTTCTTGCAGAAAACAAAAGGCCAACACAAAACCACGCTCTTCTTTCAGACTCCTGTGCAGGCGAGCACAGGAGGCTCTTGCAGCTACTGCTTACACACAAGCAGCTCGACATAATCCCCAAGTATTTTTGCTTTGTGTTCATCTAAAAGAAGTGGTTTCGTGAAGTATGTGGATGCCTCAGTAAATTCATATGGGTGTCTCCAGATGCATTCTTTTGCGGGTTTAGCTGACAGCCAGAACTGGACAGGATTAGACAACTTGAAGAGACATCTTCCTGTACAGAAACGTTAGAGGAAGTGGATAATGTTTATCCTATATGCCTAATTCTGCACTGATACTCTGGAGGGTGAAAGAAATGACTGGTTTTCACATTTGCTTGCACAGGACTGCATATAGTATGTGTGGAAAAAATGGGAATACATTACACTTATCACGTAAAGCTAAAGATAGTGGGCTGCAATGTGTCTTTACCTTCCACTTCCTCTTCATCACAGATATGTTTGACAAACGAGGCTCCTCTGTCCAAGACTGCCTCATCCTCCATTCTAAAAGGAACAAAAAAAAGAATTAAAAATGTTACATAAAGATCATGACATGGGTTAGGATGACTTATGGCCCCATATTCAACATCCTCTGACCACTGTATCCACTATCACACCTCCACACAGCTGCTCCAAAGTAGAAAAAAAAAGTACTGTAATGTAATGTCACTTTTATGACCATCGGAGTGAAATTCACCTTACTGTGAAAAAGATTCTTATTCAGTGTGAAATGTTGTTGGATATTAAAGTAACATCTACATTCCAAGATCTATCTAACGTTAGCACAAATTTCATTCAGGCTTGTAAGTGACGTTTTATTGAAGGATGCAGTACTGTGCAAAAACTCTCAAGCCACCCCTCATTCTTGCTTCCAAGAAGCCAGACTCTTGAACAATCACTCGCCAGGATTTCTGAATGCCTTTCAAATGTGTTCTTTGGACTTTGGTTGCTTTTTCACTGATTTTCAGTCTAGTAATTGACCATTTTTATAGGAAGGGCTTCTTTGGCAAGCCACTTAACACTGACCTATGAATCGTTCAAACATAAAAAGAAAAGCACCTAACTGAAAAAAAAGATGAAACAGTATTGTGTGTAAACATAACAGACAACTTGGCAAAGAATCTATTTTAAAATGTATCTTTAGGGCATTTTGTTGCTAACAGTCTGTTGCAAAACACACACAATTTGTCCCCATATCCCAAAAGATAAGGCAGTTACAGCCATAAAACAGTGTTTTTGCACCAACAAGGTGAGTCCCAAAGAGCTATCACCTAAAGTCTTTGCATATCTCATCATGGTCTGCAGTGTGTCCTTAAAGAATTTGAGGAAACAGGACAAATGCAGGGCAAAAGAAAAAGTGGCATACCCAATCTTTTTTTCCGTAGCAGATGAACAGTATCTGAAAGTCATGTCATTAAGAAACAATGAAAAAAGTCTCAGTAGAAGGGTGGCTCCCCAGAGGGCGTTCTTAAGGAAGGAAAACGTGGAGAAAAGGTCAGCATCTGCCAAATCAAATGAGAACTGGAATGCAAAAATCCGGTTTTATGGAATAATGAATCTAAATTTGAAATTTTTGCTTCAAATCATCATCAACATGTACATCAGAGGTCAGGTGAGAGGTACAGCAGTGAGAGTCTACAGCCATCCGTAAAACACCGTTGGGGATTTTGTCAAGAGTGATGGAATGATGAATGCAGAAAAGTACCAATTTTTTCAAAATGTTGATCCACTGTGCAAAATGTCTGATTAGCACTTGCTTTATATTTAAACTTTTACTGCCTATTGGATCACTCCAAAACTAAACAGGAAGAGCTTGTTAATTAACACCATCAGTAACAAACTTCAATATAATGCATCAAGGTCTTGCAGTGCCCGCAGGTTTCCCCTGCTCAACAAGGTAAATGTACTTCTACCCTCACCAGCATCAACTCAACTTGTCATGTTTGGAGGAAGAGAAATCCTAAGTACGTCCCAAAGAACACCGTCAACACAGTCACGCATGGAGGTGGAAGCATTATGCTTTGGGCTATTGTTCTACAAAGGGTACAGGACCACTTCACCACTTTGAGGAGCCAATGAGTGGGGTCATGTGCCAACCTACTTCCCTCAGCTAGAACACTGAAGATGGGTCATGGATAGGTCACATTAAGGTCATGGAGTGGCCTAGTCAGTCTCCAAACCTGGTGGCCAACTACAAAAAACGTCTCACTGCTTTGCTTGCTCCACCAGGTAGACAGTCATGTTTTGCTTGGAGATAAAAAATCTCAAGCCACCCCTCACTCTTGCTTCCAACTTGCTACTTAGCTCGCCTGGTAATGTGGATAATTATTTTCAACACTGAATACAGAAAACAATACACCATAAAAAGATGAAGAAAAAAAAAGAGGCTGCCTTTATATTCCACTGTGTTGAGCTATAAAGGGTAAGTAAAGACTTACCCTGTGCCTGTGTGTCAATTTACTGCGTCAAACTGCAGTAAAACTAAATATGCGTGTCACTATCAAATTTGTGTTTTTCCTTTGGCAGCATTTTTTTTCCCAATAAACCAAAAATAAATATTTGCTTCGGGATGCATACAAAGAATGCAAAATAAACACGTGAGCAGTTTAAATTTGCTACTGAACAATGTGAGGCCAACGATGAGACAGCACAGAAGGAATGGGAGCAGTGCGCAAAACCGCTACCGTAAATAAACAAAGTCAGGAAGGATACAACGTGTTCCTTTGATTGCACTCCGAGCTCATCTGGATCTCCCTAGTGGATATGATCTCTGGCCCTAAGAACATAGGAGCACAACACTGATGATAACAGATGCAACCAGCTCCCAGATCAAATGGGTGTCGAGGAGTGGTTGGGTTAAGTGCCAAGTTTATATGCAATCCTTAACCTCTGTACCTTCTTTTTGTTGCTCTTTTTTTCTTAAATATGAAAAAAATAAATAAATAAAAGTGACCGAGGTTTCCGCACTGTTCCGTGCACATAGAGTCAACACTATCATTTAGGCCTTGATTGCTTTGAGTGTTCTGTTCCACTTGTCCTTATCGTCTTCCATCCCAGGACAGAGCATCCAGAAAATAGCACCAGCTTTAGAAGAGCTGGGTTCTGCCATGCTGTATTCTTTGTACCTTGTACCTAAGCAGACATGTTAACAACGATCAGAAGTGACACGCTATAAAAACATGAGATTGGCCCTTTTAATTCAATCTTGCACAATGGCTGTACAGACAGGAGCTACGATTCAGGATCTCTCTAAGAACCCAGCTTGGGTATTTACTTCTGCAGCAGGTACCAAAGAACTGATGATGCAGCAGTATGCATGAAGGCAGCTCATGTAGCACAGAGAGAGGGTCATCAGGGAAACCGGTGAGCACACAGAAGAGCAAAGAAAGCTCATGTTTCAGGTTTTACTGCTGGCTAAGGCAAGTTCACAGAGCCGTGTTAATCACTGCACACTGCGGCCTCAGACAGGGCTCGACTAACCATGAGAAACAGGCCACAGGTGGTTTACAGACATCCTGGATGCAGGAGGGGAACGCATCATTCCTGTTTTGAATTGGGTGTCAAACGGAAAAAGAAATATGGTAAGTGCTTCAAAGAGAGTAGAAACTTTAAATCTGCTTTTTGGTATAACTCAGAAAAGTCAAAATGACTCGCCGAGTTTAAAATCAGGTCAACATAGTCGATTGGATCCTACATCTCCTCATTCAAGTCATTTTAAATGCAGGAAATCGACTTGATCTTGCCCCCATTTCCTTCTATGACTCTATCTTCTTGATTAATCAATAATAATAAGAATAGTAATAATAAGAATAATAATCTGGGTGAAGATCTGAGTGACCAGTTGCATCTATTTCTCACTCCTGAACTTTCGATTCTGCTTCAGTTCTCAGTGACCTCAGGCGTCTGGATAAACCTGTCAGTGCGTGAGGAGCTGGGATCAGCTGTTTGGGATCAAGGATCATCCCCATCTCTTTACAGAATGACGCATCCAGTCCAACCAGCCTGGTTGGCCATGAGGGTAGATGCCCTCAGCGCCATCAGGGCAAAAAACAGAAAGAAAGAAAGAAAAAAGGTGTACAGCAGTGAGTTTCAAGCCTTAAAGTGATACTCGAGCTAAAGCTGATCTTCTGGGCGGTAATACCCACATGAAAGTTTAACAGGCAAGCATAAAAAAGCGGATTTGGCTGGTTGCAGTTAACTTCTGCACCATTACTTGAAGGACAGAGGAAGACATATAGGTGATCAGCATTAGGTATATAACTTGATAATTGTCCATTTGGCAATTTCTCAGGCTGAGAGTAGGCCATAATATGAAGCATATACCTATATATATTTTTAATCAAAGTGTTGCAATAATACAACCATTATATTGGTATTGTTATCACAACATACTTTTCAGCTTAATATTCCTCAGATATAGCCACCCAATTAACACTCAAGTGGGGCTATTGTGACTTCCACTACCACACCGCTGCGGAGCCTGAATGCGAAGTGAAATGGGTAAACAAATAAATGGCCATATCACCAGTACAATCAAAGAGATTATTTGACTTGTGTAATAACCAAACAGAAGTTAGCTCGGTGCCCTTCAGCTCTGCCTTAACTTTTGGAATTTCCTTCAATGGCACATTGGTCAAAGCATCAACGGGAAGAACACAAAAGAGCATTTTAAGTTTCAGCAGGCGCTCACACAGGTGCAGGTGAAACAGAACAAAAAGAATAGAGAAAACGTTTCCCTGTTACAAAACCAGACGTCTGTCTCCGGGAAAGACACAAGAACGAGGAATCGGCTGTCACTTTTATTTCTGCTGCTGACATGGCACGGCACAATAGGTCATTTCAGGTTTCGTTCGTTGTTACTTGGAGAGGGCGTCACGCTCCCTCTGAGGAACTGTGCCTCGCCTATTCCGATGCAATTACATTTTCAAGCCAAAAACATCCATCTAAAATAACTTGTTACCGTGAATGAGATGCTTGTAAGGAAAGTGCAGACTCCGTGAATCTTCCCTGTTTGACATTACTGTGAAGTCTATACAACTGGGCCCAGTGGATGGGAGGGAGGGTTCCCCCTCATACCCGTCCGCCACGGGGATAGTGCAGTCTAGCGCACTACGCATTACGCACGGCTTTATTCAGAAAGATACAATGCAAGACATCTCCGACACTTGCCTTGCGCTCTCCTCCTCTCTAATTAATAGCGACAGCTTCTTGGAAAATAGATTAGCCCGTTCATAGCCACAGTGTGTGTCTTATCTATCCAAGGTTGTCGCTGGAATGAATGAACGCTTTTCAGAAAGATCAGTACTCTTATAAATAGCTTGCACGTGGCGTTACTATGGCATGCCATCAGCGATCCACTAAACTCAGAAACCACAGAAGTTCCAGCTTTACGCACACTGGCACAATGCTTTGAACGTGACTACTTCGTTTTCTAGTGAGCGACATTCCTGACGCCTCGTTCACCGACTCAACACTTGACAGGAAACAACAAAACAAATCTCCCCAAAAACCCGAGGACCGAAAGCTACGAGGTAAAACTTCAAACGTGCATAGCTTTTAGTTTCACAAGTTAACACTTGACGATCAGACACTTACTTGCTCTTGTCGGAACTCATGGTGATAAGTTTCCCCTTCGCGGCTGATCAGCGTGGCGTCCACCTGTCCTCCTCGTCAGTTTCGAGTCGTGCGTGTTTGAGAACGGTTGCCTAATCTAGCTGCTGCGCTCCCAAAGTGCCTAAAACTAAAGTACGTGAGCTGCGACTATCTCGCTGGGATGATTTCTGCGACCCTACAAATCAAACCTAACGCGAAACGCACAATCCACATATCTAAATGGAAACGCACACGCAAGGCCAAGGTAACATCTTGTCCAAAGCGCCTGTTTGGAAGTGCCACGGGAGTCTTTGTGTGTAGCGTTTCTTTCCCCATATTTAAAGTACCATCCCTCCTCCTGCGTGACGCCACAGGGGCGGAGGTCAGACCATTAGCGCTGGGAGGCGCGCAGAAGACTAAAACTTGACAAATTGGCTCCCCATTACTTCATTAAAACAACTTTGACCATAGACAGAAACATGCAAAATCAGTTTTTTATTGCTTAACAGGAAATATATAAACAAATCCTGCTAACAACATTCTAAAAGTTACACTTAAATAATTCATTTGAACACTTGCTGAGGATGGGTATTTATTTTGGACCCCGAACTGCCAAAAAGAGCAAAAGCAAACAAAAAGTCATGAGATGTTTCCACCTTGGTGATCCATTCTACTCTGTGCTTTTTAAAAAGGCATTAAAAGTAAAAATGAAAGAAGCTAATGTCAGATAGCTTTAGTCAAATCCTATTGGAGCTACCAGGTCAAGGCAGGCTGAGCGCTCAGAAATAGCCGGGCAGCTTTAATGGAGACTGGCGACATCTTCTGGAAGAGCTGCACAGAGTGCCAAGAAACATTTGGAGCGGAGAAAGAACACGTGTGACACTTGATTTTGTGCAATCGGTGGGGAAAAAAAATAACAAGTTTACTGTCATTGTTATCAGTGGACATACATTACAATCTCATTTGTGCACATTAATGCTGATAAATACACAACACTTAAAAAAAACAACAACCAAAAACCCCCAATATCTTTTCTTTTCAGTTATTGAACAGACAAGTAAATGTCATTGTCTATGCTTTAAAAGCCATCCAGTCTTCACTCTTTTCTTTGTGGTGGTGCTCATAGCGTGCTCAAGAACTCTTTGACCTACAAAAAAGCAAAAAACAAAAACAAAAAAGGCGTCAAATTAGCATTAAAATCTAAACCAACAAAGGCACAGATCATTACTTTGGATTTCTTTTCCCCTCCCCTCCTTGGATAACAGTTGGGTTTATGTAACAGCACCAAGCTGTGTGTGGAACAGGGTTTTTTGTGTCTGATGTGAAAATAAGTACCTGAGTTAACCACAGCTGATAGCATCAACATGAAACTGGTTCATGAACAAGCGCAGTGTGTGTTTACTCGAGTAAAAGTACCAATGCCAGTGCTCAAGCATTTTATTGCATCACTGAGCCCTGAATCACAAGAAACTCAGTCTCATGCAGCATTTTGCCCAAACTGTCTTCTTTTATAACAGCAAGCGAGTAAATTTGAAACATCTTTTTACAGCACTGTGTTTTGACACAGTGCTGCTCAAACCTGTTGAGCCACTCGTTGCTTATTTCCATTTTGCTAGGAAAATGAGGCAGATGCAGCGATTTATTGAAACGTGCAAAAACATACGTGGAAATACAGTATATGAAAAGTAATGAAAGCATTACTTGATGATTTCTGATCTTTACGCAGGCTGAAACGGTACCAACCTTCTCGATCATGTTAGCACATTTGATTTTATCGCCCTTAAAATCTTCATTCACGTCAAGCGTCATGACCGGCACGTCATTGAGATACTCAAACTCCATGCTGTGGGAAGACATGATATAGAACATGCAGTTAGAGACGTTATAGTTTCCCCACTGTGGGAAACTGCATACTGTTTTTAATGAAATGAAGACATTAAACTTTGTAAGGAAATGTACACATGATGGAGCAAAGAAACAGCCCGTCACACAAAGCCAATGACGCAGATGAAGATCACATGTATCGCTGTTCGAGCCTTCGCTTCCCCCCCTCCAGCTGTTGCATGAATGGGGGAGTAGGGGGTTTCCAATGCTTATTCAAAGCCTCTCCTATCATACAAGTACATCTGTTTTCCTCATATAAATGCACACAGTTTCTGACTGAACAGTCTGCTTACGTCAGGGTCTTGTGCTGCAGCCAGCTCTCGTGCTTGAAGTGAAGTTTCTCCAAGTACTCCGGAGGGATGTCTTGCTCTTCCTCTCTACCTCTCAGGTGTAACCGCTCTAAACATCTCTGTACACCAAAGAAGAAGAACACTGTGAACTTTTTGCTTATTGTGAGCTTTATTATAATTTTTTTAAAATCATGAATGATGAAAATTGCAGAATTTTCTATTAAAGGACACTGTCATTTAGGTATAAACGTGTGCAGTACAAAGGAGGAGGTTACCTCTGGTGAGGCTCTGAGGTAGATAATGCCATCCAGCTCAATGTGCTTGCCAAACTGGTTGTGCAGCCACCCATGCCAGTCCTGGTAGACGGACCATTCGGTCTCATTCATGCATTCACTCTCATATAGGTTGGTTGCAAAGATGTACCTAAGATATAATGAATCCAAAAAAAAAAAAGGATGAGCAATTCTGTTTCATTTATCACAGGATGTTTTAAATTGTAATTGTTTTGAGGGGTTAAATAAATCAGAGGCTGGTTTCTGTGGTGGGAAAGAAGTGAATTCTTACAAAGGTTTCTAAAGCCTGGTAAAAATTCCTACACTGTGTTCACAGTGAAAATTTCTATGAGAAAAATATTTTTATCAAGCGTACATATTCATCAATAGGTCCAATACCTGTCACTGTAGATGGACCGCTCAAAGAACTGCACAGGATTCTCAGCCTCTCTGAGCTTCCCGTTGGCTGATCTGATCTGGGCACGCACTCGGCTGATACAGGCGTAGCTCTGGAAAGTGTAAGCCCACCGCCCTGGCTTCTCGTACATCATTTGAAGGACGTTCCCGCCACTCCTCTGAGATGCGGTCAGCTCCTAGAACATAAAAATCCCATTGTTTCATTTTACACACCTTCATGACTTAGAGATAATAAATGCAGCCTTTTGTCATCATGTGTAACAAAAAGGTGACTCACTGTAAGCTGTGACATAGCCCCATTGTTAAAAAAAGGCATGTGATGAATACATGGGTAAAGCAGCAGCTATTTGATTTTTTACCAACCAAGCTCTACTGATGGAAACTCTTTGCAAACTTTCTTTACCTTTCCCCAAAATAACATTTTTTAGATCTTGCAAATATCAGAATACAACTTTATGCCACATATGCTGTCTTTTTAAAGCACTGAACTCAGGTCCTTTAAGACAATCCGAGGCATCTTACTTTATACAGTTTAATGTGTCATATACGAGTGATAGTTATTATTATTTACCGATGTATTGTAAATCATTTAAGCTTTGTCTTTTGCTGAACAAAGCTGGCTTTTCCATAAACATCTTAGCCCACATTTAGTAAGTGAGTAAATAAGAAAAGCACTAAACCATTTTTCTAAATTTGATTTGTTCCTCACTGGCATTGCTCTCCAAAAATACTTGGTCCAGTGACTGGCAGAGGGCGCTTTGACCACTGCCTTTAAAAGTTGTGGCAGTAGTGGAGACTTGTTGAGGACCCTTGAATGGTTCAGCAGAAGCAGTGTATTCTGATAGTGCCTGCATACTATCATTTTACACCGTGCCGACACCATTTTGCACTATTTATTGGATTACCAACAAAAAGTGTACATGTGAGCTGATATGATATATTTTTATTTGAAGTGTTTACCTTCTTTAAACTGGCCACTAGCAGTAGGTTTCTCCCCCCCCCCACATTGTGCAACAAATTGCAACTAGTGGTAACTAAATGGCCGCCCTGAGCTTGAGGATGTTGCACACTCACAACTAATTTTAATTGACTGCAGGGCAACTGCACCAGTTGCCTGATAGGAAGCAACCTTTCTGCAAATCGTTAGCTTCATAGCATAAGTGCCTAAGTCATTTTTTTGTGTTTTCGGAAAACAAGAAAAAACTAATTTTCTAAATATCACATGCATATTTTTAAATATCACATGCATATTTTTAAATATCACATGCAATTTGACCAAAAAATGACTTAGGCACTTATGCTATGAAGCTAACGAAATGTAAAAAAGATAAATGTGACTTCCTGTCTACGCAGACGGCAACAAATGTGTGGCTTTCAACCATTTCCACAGTTAATTCCTGAATGATCACAAACAGTTTGCATGTAATTGCAACCATGACCCTAGTCTGTCCATCTTATGGCAACATTCCTGGCAGGTTTTACTGACAGCGTTGGTATACTCGATAATCTGGTGTTGCAGCACAAAGTGAAAATACTGAACAAGACAGATACTGACAATCTTATGAACAAATCTAGCAAATCTAACAAAGGTAGATTTGCCTGCTGCTGAACGCAAAAGAAGCACAAATTAAAGTTCACTCGTTTGAGGAGATCACTTTTGAAAAAAAGGTGATAAATTGCAGTATATGTTACTGCAATACAATCAAAATAATAATAAAAAAAAAAATCACAATAACATCATATTGTGGTAATATATCGTGGGTTGTCTGATGATTCCCACCTCTGCTGGCGATGCTGGGCTGAATAAAAACTGGTAACAATGAAGGATCTACCTAACTTATTATGAATGACTGGTAACTTGTATCCAGTCATCCATAATATAGCAACAGTGCAAATGCAACACACCAGTCACTTGTTTAAGCATCCTTGGTTGATATGGAGAAGAGTATCTCAATATCCCTCTCACTGCTTGGTAGCTGGGGGTAGGGTGGGGGGATCCTTATGGCATGTAGAGACCATGAATATTAGGCTGAAAGTGAGGTTACAGGTCGCCAGTTGTGTGTGTGTGTGTGTGTGTGGGGGGGGGGCGGGGGGTGTCAGATGTTTGGCCTGATGATGATACATTCATCCGCCCACAGTGGGACTATCTGTCCCTCTGGGTGTGTGGCCACGCAGATACTGTATAAGGGTAGACAGCAGCTGCACTCTAAATACAGATGGGGAGTCTCCCCAGTTATTACGTCTTCCTGAATGCACGCATGCACGATAATGTGCTGGTTATTAAATTACTCACAAATTTGTCATAAACTGACAAGAAAGCAGATTTTATGTAAACATCAGAAAAGTTTTTTTTAAACGACTCTAATATAGAATCTTATTTTATTTTAATACCTCAAAGTCGCTGCCAGTTGTTTGAACATTGCACCACCTGGCGATCGGCTCTGGTACCACCTCCCAGTCC